AACATTTTATGTTTGCTTTGATTTATAATGTTTTGGTTTTTGTAGGATTAGAATCTCGTTTTGTTCGACTTGTATAACGTTTTTTAAAGTCATTATCACTTTGATCATCATTGTCGTTCAATGTTGTTTCACTCTGCGAAGAAAAACAAAACTCTGCAATAAAACTCAACATTAAATCTCTCTATTTCATTTACTTACCGTCTGATGTGTTTTCAGTCGTTGTGCTTCTCTGTTCATCTGCTGTTTACGTTTGTCATTTAAATAGCAAAAGAAGGAACTTTCATCTTTTTAACGTTTAAATCGAAATACTTTTTTATCGGGTTTAATAACATCTAATGCATTATAAATAACTAATACACCAGGGATAGATTTTGAATATTTTATACTTGGTTCAATGTAATAAGTTTCATTCGAATATTTGATTATACCATCAAACCAAGATGAGTAAAATCCACCCGTTATATATGATGTCGTGGGATAACCTTAAATGAAAGTTAAATAAACTATCTGACTGCATGGGGTTTTCAAAAATAAAATCCAAAAGCCAATAGTCCTCTTAGAAATATATTTAGTTAATTTTTTTGTGAAATCCGTCTGTTTTCGTGTTATCTAAAACGTTCTATGACTATATACGACATTTTGTTTAATCTGCGCAGTATTCTCTCAAACAAGTAAATAAGATAAAGTTTGAAGCATTACGTTGCAGAAAAGCAGACATTTTAGCTTTACAAATGAGAATTATGCAGCGTAATGTTTTTGCAAAGTAGGAGTAAAAAGGGTTAATCACCAGCACCAACACATAGCAAATGAGAAAAAACTTGTTATGAAAACATTCCGTAACATTAGCAAAATCATTAGAACTATAATATGTGTTACTTACTAAAACTCAATTATTTAGAAATACCTATAATAATGGATTACTTATCATCTATTAACTCACTCAAAAACACTGTATAGCTTCGATCGAAATCAATACTAAAGAAATGGCATACATGCTTTTGCATTAATTGCTTGCTTTTTCTTTCCATCTTTTAAGAAAGTATTTTTCTTGTAAAAGAAAAGATATCGCTTTTCTTTCTTTTGGAAAAGATAAGGTAACCCACTTTCCTTTTTGTTAGGAAAGAAAAGATATGCATTATATCTTTACTCTTTTTTTGTTGTAAATAAAACGAAAAACTTCTCTTTTGTTAATAAAAAAAGGGGTAGGAAAGAGAATGTGCCACTCTAGTACGCATTGTTTTATTATTATCAATAGCAGAAGAATCAGCAGGAATTTTATTGTCTGACTTTAATAAACTCGTTAAATGTTCGATCCTTTGTCTTTGCTTCAGTAACTGACCCCGTAGACATTTAACTAGAATTATGTGTACATATATTTTGTTAATTATACAATACGACGACGAGGTCGCGTTACATAGTCTCCACGTCGACGTACACCATCTTTTCATCTAGCCATCTGATGATAGTTATCTTAATGATGATTTTGAATTTAATCTTTGTATTGCTTTCCGTTTTCGATCTCGTCTTCTAATATTCAAATTGTAATTCTTGGGTGTTATTTGTTTCATTTTCTTTCGATCATTTTTCTGTCGTTGTTGAATTGTAGTTTTATTTTTACTAACATCGTTCTTTGGAGCCATCCCAAAGGAGAGAAAGTATAATTTGAAGCTGGAAACAACAAAAAGACACTGGAAGAGGTCTGGAAGTTTCTCCCCATCTACAAAAATTTTAAATTTAAAAGACTGTTGAAAACTCTAATGATTTTTCAGAAGCCCGGGTTCTCTGAAACACAGTCTCCACAAAAGATTTTCAAAAATCCATTCGACTTCTCATGACAAGAAACATATAAAATTTAAAACCTTGATCCTAGTCGGCGGATATTTTTAGATTTTATAGCTCTAGAAGGAGGTGGGAATAAAAAGGGGGTGGGGACATCTCACTGCATTTTTCAAATTCCTTCCTTTAGAAATAAGTTGAAGTCCTGATATTTAAGGCATAACTTTGCTGCCAGTTTAACATGTGTAGTAAAAATTGACATCTTAATTATTCCATGTAGTTTGGTCAAGAGATAGTCAAAAGGGAATGGGACAAATTATGTGTCAGTGAAAAATGTTATTTTTCCAAAATCATCGTAGTATTAAACAACATAGTTTCCGTTATTTAACAGAGAAGGCTGCTTTTCTGAAACTTATCGGATTAAAAATACCGACGAAAGCGAGATTGAAGAGACATGGAAAACGAGTAGATTCGCATTAGAAAACATTTAAGCGTATAAAACTTCGAAAAACAACAAACGATCAAAAACGGCTACAGTAACGGTGAGATCATTTAAATCTTAGTGCAATAGTGAAAACTGGAGTAAAAATCGAATAATTGCATCACCCCAACGAATTAGCTCAATGAAATACATGGCCGCCATTACAGCGTCACAAATGCTTTAAGTTCAGACATTCAGCTAAATACTGCAAATGAACAACCGAAATATATCGCAAGCTTGACAGTGATGACACACTCTGCAACTGTCGAACAATAAAACACAAGATATTAATTGTGGATCGCAGCAGGAAGCTACCTAAGTTTTTTGCCGAAATTAATGTCATTATGAATAACGATGTTATAGATACTATTTTGCATATTCTTCACTAAACTGTTGGAGGGTATGTAATATTTAACTTGAGATAAATAATGTTAACTTATGCATTCATCGTTTTGAGTTAAAGGCGAAGACACTTGAGGTTGAATTTGCCTAATATAGAACTTTAACATTCTATTATTCTCGATTTCGTTTCTCTGATACTGAATTTGTCGATTACAAAAATCAACAGTATGAAATTGATGAGTTTAACGTTTGAAGTAAGATGTTATAGGATTGAGTGATTCGTTAACTGTAGAATATTTTAATATCAGTAAGATATCTGTTTAAACGATTTCCGTCAGCTGGTCATCAATCGACTGTTGTAACTCGAATAGGGTAGCGATATTACAAACTTCTTCGACATGTAACGTGACAATCTGCAATGAAAGAAAGTCAAAGATTGTTATCTGAAAAATACACTAAGTTTCAAAATCTACAAAATACGACTTGATACAATTGTAATTTAGTAGTTTTACAATCGCTTATCAGTTACTAGAGATTCAAACAGAATTCATTTCTGAAATGATTAAAAGAAGATATCACGATCGATTTCGACCTTTCTCAAGTGAGGTAACATTCTACAATCTCTGTGAAGAGAAAATTTTGATACATTTTTTTGATTACAGGAACTCGGGATAACAAACTTTTCAAAATTATTAGGTTTGGTAAGTCATTTACAAAGTATTTAATGATAGCTAATCGATAATTTATTAAGATGAATTATTTTGCACTTAAATTTATTTTTTTAAAAAGACTATAAAAGCGACAAAAGCTTGTTATCTAATATAGTAGTTTGATTACAACTACGATCGTTCGTTTAGTTTATCAAATCGTGGATCAATTGATCCAAGTAGAGCTTTAACGATGTAATCACCATAGGAGAATGGATAATTGGAACCCTGCGCTCGTTGTATTTGTGCTTTCTCAGAACGATAATCGTCAACGACATCGACATGTTCCATTGTTCTATCCCAATTTGCCAAATAGGAAACTGCATCACTGTCATCTGTACACGCCAAAAATGTAAGGTAAGTTGTTTTTGAACTTCGTTCTTGTCTGATTAATTGTTCCAATACTGGAACATTAGTGTTTCCAAGCTCGTCTGTGGGTGCACCGTCTAACAATAGAATCAAAGTGATACAGCTACAATCGCTAATAAAAGATAGATGAACGTACCTGTTGCGATAAAAATGAGCAATTTCTTATCTCCAGCTTGCGGTGATTTTGTTCTCAATATTTGTTTCAGTATGGGAACAAGCGGCGTCAGACCATGGGGGGCTTGTGCAAACACCGCATTGAGCTGTTCAGTACTCGTGACACTCAACAGAGGCTTACGATTGAGAAAATAAACATCGACTCCGTTTGAATCAAATACAACGGAAATATCGACAATTATTTGAACTAACTGTTTCAATTCGTCCCAACGTGTTTTTGAACTATTTCCTAACGTACTCTTCATCGATCCACTATCGTCACAAAGTAAAATAATTTCAAAGTCTTCCAATAATCTTAAACGTTGTTCCCATTGACGATTTATTTCATATTTTGATGCTATTTGCAGTAAATACTGGTGATAACGATCTACAGTGACAGTAGTACTAGCACTAGCACGAACACTACTACCACCACCACCACTACTGCCACTAATAAAGCCAGAACCGCCGCCGATGCTAAAATGTGTACGTTGTATCGTTGTAGAACGTTTTTGGTTTGTATTGAGGAATGATGACGATGTCGCTCGTTCAGCTATTATTCGATTTGCTTCTTCGACAACTTGATCAACGATCGGTTTCAGTCCAGATTTACCTATTGCAAGGAGAGAATCACATTTCAATTTCATAGAAAATATAAGCTTGAAAGGACACGAAAAGTTTTACCTTCCAATAAATATCGATATTGATTTATTTCTTCTTCTAACGATGTTTTCATATTTGTTACTTCGTCATATTCTTGTGTTAAACGTAGTAATTTTTGTCTCATCATTTGTATTTCTTGCGTTTGCTGAGCAATCGATTTTGAGCCATACTCTTGTTGATACTTAAGCTGTATTTGTATTTCTTTAATTCGATTATTTAAATCTTCATTTTTGGCATGCCAGTAGCCACTTTCATTTTTCATTTTTAAAATTGATGCACGTATGCTATCTTCTTGGCTTTGACTTTGAACTTGTATTTGTGGTCGTGTCTGATGCGTTACTAATTCATTGTAAATTAACATATAACGACTGCGTAAGTCGGAACGTTGATGTTCAACTGATGATTCATATTCATTTCGAATCTCTTGAATTGCTTGTGACAATTCATTGCGGAAAAATTGTGACGCATCAAGATTAACATCGACAACAGTTTTTGAACGAATGTCGGCTAAATCGGTTTCATCTATTAGAAAAAAGCAAACAAAAATCATAATTATGTTTTGTATTTACCACAAATTTTTGCATTGTCCTTTGCACACAGACTTTAACTATGTAAGTTATATTGATCGTCAGTGTGAAAAAGTGTGCTCCAGAGTGAGAGTGATAAGTTTTGTCATTTTAGATTGTGTTGGGGCACGATGTATTAGTGACGCGTTACCAATTGTTCAGTCTAAGAAAGAAGACTATGCTACCGTAGATTCTCAAGAGTCCGCAACATAAGTGCAAATATTCTTTTATTTTTGCCATTATTTCTTAGTTAGATACTACTAAATTCGGAGGAATGACAACAATCGAATGTGTTATATTAAGAAAAATAGAAAAGTAGATGCACATATGGTTTGACAGAAAAGTTACCAGCAGCAACTGAGACCAAATAGACTGTCAATTCCTTTTTTGCTCGAGCCTGTATGCGATATAGCCGCTGCTTCAAGCAATATACGAATTAGACTCTTTTTTTATTTAACTATACAATAGCTTCAGACACGATTTCAATTTTGTGTTTAAACTTACGCAGTTGTTTCGACATTAATAATTCATCTGTTAATGCCATTTTTTCGGTATCTAATGTTGATTTGAGAAATTGTTCATTTTGTATATCAGTTTGTAAACGTCCTATTTCCGACATTATTCGTTGTGCTTCAGCTTTGTATCGTCCAGCTTCTTGTTCTAAATCAGACAATCGTCGACGAAATAAACTAATTTGCTAAAAAAGAACATTGTACATTATCAAGAGATTTGTTTATGAATATAAAGTCAATGGTATTGAAATCTTACAGCTTCATTTTCGGCTATTTGTAATTGTAGTTGATCAACTGCACTTCGATCAGAATTAAGACCATATGAAACTTCGTCATATCTTTCCTTTTCTCGTTTTGTGGTTTGCATAGCTTTTTTTGCTATCGCTTCGGCTGCTGCTCGATCATTTTGTGTATCATCAATCAACTGTTTTGCTTCAGTCATTTCCATTTCATACATTTCTTTTATTTTAGATGAACCCTGTCCTGATCTTTTTAAAATTGCGTCTAAAACACACAATAACAAAGGCAAAACTGTACAGAACTTCATTGTTCAAATGCTGCATTAATCATACCTAATTCCATTTGTAATTTTCGATTTTGTGCTTCAAGAAATCGAACTTTTTCAACATATTGTGCAAATTTATCATTTAAAGTAACCAAATCTCGCTTTTCACGCTCACGTGCTACATTGATGGCAATCAACTCACCACCTCCCCGACCGCCACCTGTACCACCTCTAATCGGAATGCCAGCAAATTGAGCTAATCCGCCCAATCCTGACTGTGCACCAAAGTTGCCACTCGATGAATAACTTTGGTACATTCTTGTCGTGACACCGGAATTGATGCCGCCCATAATACCCGTATTTCTTGAACTTCGAACATTTGCTGTTGTTGTTCTTGGTCTTATTCCTGAACGATAAGATGACGACATACTAGTCCGATTTCTATAATTAGAGAAATAACTATGATGAACTAATTTTCAGTTCTGTTATATTGCATACTCCTGTCGATTCTGATTGAATGAGAGCAATTGAAAAATGAAATATAGGTGAGTAAATTTGTCTGCTTTTATCCTTCAGTTATAAATCGATAAATAGGTAAATATTTGACCTTCAGAAGAAAAAAAAGTCAACACAACAATTATTCCTTTCAACTCTTATTTTTCTGATCAACAATTTTTATTTTGGTTTCATTTCATAAATCAGTTCTCTTTTTCATATTTTAGTTACAAATTAGGCTTTTTTTTTCTCCTTCTCTTTATATAATTTTTTTTTCTCTATCCCACCTCAAAACCAAAAGATTAAAATTTGATAGCGTGAACGTTTTGTTGACACGGCATATAATCAATGGAATATTGACAAAAGTACGTTAACAAAAATAAATTTAAAATAGAAAAACAGATGCCCTATAGACGCACATTCTTGCCATTATTTGTTTCTGTTTGAAGAACTCTCAACAATTTCGTTAAATTTGAAGGTCCTATTTAAAACGAACAAACGTTTAAAATCGATATTAGAATTATCATTTATTATCACATTTATTTCCTACGTTTACTTTTTGGGACACATTTTGTTTTACTACACGCTACAAAAATTATCAAAATTCGTTAAATTATCTTTGTCCCTTTAATAACATAACTTCTGTTATGGTTGTCATCGTCCAAGGTCTTCTCAACCTTTTTACTCGACTATTAAATGTCTATTGGAATTATTCAAAAAATTAAAACAATATTGTGAAACAAGACGAGGATCGAGAATAATAATGATGATGCACTGAAAAGTAATTGATTTAACTTAGTTGAAATTCTTCAGGTCATTAGAGTTTTCTCTTCCACAATACAGACAGTTATTATCTGTTGATTCAATACTTTATGTCAGAGTAGATAAAAACCAGAAAAATGAATGTATACGACTACAATAGAAGTCAGCCGTGAGGCTCAATCAATTGAAATTTTAGAAAATCAAGAGTGCGTTGCAACAGACTGTACCCACGATCTTTTAACAAAGAAACTACTACATTATGTGCTTGTTATTAAAACGTATGCATATAGACCTACGAATTATATATCCGAAATAAATCTTTCTCCTACATAAATTTTCATCAGTCGTTTTGGTTTACCTGAGTAATTTCATACCAGAAACCTTACAACAAATTTTAGTGATCTTTTCAAATATAAAACATACATCTTTTTTTCATATTTGTTACCACAATAATCAAACATAATTTTTATTTTTCATGATAAATTTTTTTTCTTTTTTTGTGCATTTGACAAATAGAAGAAGCAAATCAAAAATATTATCACATTCATCTACAGCGCATCATTAATAATACTTTTATATAAAATATATTTCTCTTTTCTTATTTAATTTTATTTTTTTACTCTCACTGGTATCGTATATAAACACATGTTTGTTCTATATAGGTATCGTGTCATTCATACTTAAAGAAAAATTCAAAATCAGTCGTATGTTTTTTTTGCCGCTCACTCTTCATTTTCTTTTGTTATACTTACTTTATTTTAAGAATAAAATAAAAAATATAACAAGAACACAGCTCAGTACTTTTCTTCTTTTTGTTAAACTGTATTTTTATTTTTCTCAAATTTATCGAATCGAACATACATCAAAAGAGAGCTAATGTTGCAGAGGAAGAGCGTAAGAGCTCTATTATTATTGGGGTGTCTGCCAAGTAGAATAAATAACTGTTTTAACTAGATATAGAAGAATGTAACGAAAAAAGAAAAAGAAAATAAAATCGGTATTTTTTGACATATACACACAAACATAATTTCTTGTTACATTTTTGGCTTCCAAAAAATAATAAAATCGTCTAATGTTTTTCAACTATCAGCTATAAACAAAATTATTGTGATAATTTGTTGAACAAGGTAGTCCAGACATGTACAAGAAATCAAAAAATAAGCCAACAACAACCACAGTGAACCCGATCATCCTCCCTCACAATAAACACTCGGAGTTGAACGTTAAAATTAACCGCAACTCATTTTGTAGAGCTCTACTTTTTCTACTAATTGATATGAAATTGTTTTGAGGAAACATGATCTTCATCTCCCAACTCGCTTTTATCCAAAAAAATTTGGAGTTTCCGTGTTTTGATTTGATTTTTGATTTTTTTCAACATTAGGTTGACGTTAAAAATTCAAAATAATACTGAATTTTGTCCAATTTTTCTGCCCTTTCGACTCATATATAATTCATATTTTAACTCAAAGAACGGAGAAAAATTCGTGATTTTTGTCAGCTTTTCCCCAAGAGCCTTTCGGAATCTAGTGCAGCCGTTTTAGATCCAAAAGTCTTAACTCCTTTTGAATTCCGACTTCTGTTAGAAGAACGCAAACAGATAGACATACTTCACTCTGCCATCGGCATCTTGTGGAGCCTAAACATTACTTTACGATTGAGAACACTCGTAATGAATTCATAACTCGATATTCTTTTTGAATTTGCTACACCAGATCTATATATTATACTCACTTACGTTAAGTTGCTAGTGAACATTGCAATGTACAAACATGTGACGGAGTCGTAGGGCTGACACTGTCTCTTTCCTACCTCTTCTTTTTATTAACAAAAGACAAGTTTTTCGTTTTATTTACAACAGAAAAGAGTAAAAATATAATGCATATCTTTTCTTTCCTAACAAAAAGGAAAGTGATACCTTTTGTTTTCCAAAAAAAAGAAAAGTGATATCTTTTCTTTTTTCAAGAGAAAGACTTTTCTTTGCATCTTTTAACAAAAATCTTTTCCTTGCAAAAGAAAAGATATTGCTTTTTCTGTTTATTGGAAAACCACAGGCGCCACTGTCTTTTTTTTAAGAAAAGAAAAGGTATGGATTATATCTTTACTCTTTACTTTTGAAATAAAAGATACCAGTTTACCGTTACTCTGGAAAGGAACGGGAAAGTGTCAACTACATAAAATAACTGTATTGTAATCCTGCCTATTTTGAAGAGCATGAAGTCAAAGTTTTGTGACCAAATAATTACAGATTAAACGTTTATTAAAAAGAAATCGGAGATGTCGTAATATGGATACAGAATGTATCGACATCTCGGGGAACGACATTACTGTGAGCCGACATCACCGCAAGGGAGAAAAACAGATTTTTTCATAATTTTCAGCTCAGTACGTATGGTACCGAGAATTTCCAAGTTATGTTGGATTTCCGTGGACTTCATGGTGTTCAACGCAAGTTCGCGAATAGTTTGACATTTTTTTGAGTCGTTCTGAATTTTTTTCGATAAGCTCCAATTTCAAGGATTTTTGCAGATGTTTCTTTTATTCTATTGAGAGTTGTTGAAGTTTTTCTGATTTTGTTGTACTTCCGTGGGCTTCGCTAGTTTCCAAATCTTCTCAGAGGATCTCCGAGTTTTTCTACATTTGTGTATGTGAGAAAGTCACAAAAATCCTCAAATTCGCTTTTCCCTCTTTGCATCACCGCGACGATCTGTTCATTGAAATGAAGAATAAATGAGCCTGGTTTTGTATTTTGTATATCATGCACTGAAACCTGAGTGCAGTGTTGTGGTAAATAGTCATTATGTAGCACAGTTACAGATATATAGTTTCGCATCATGAAAATATGTTTTGTGTGAAACTACTTTTCAAACTCACTCCCATACTCCCCACACCCTCATCTTCCACAACACACTGCTAAAAATACCCATATGTGTACTATGAAAAATTCGCGGAAATGTCGTTTGCAGTAACGTCGGATCACGGGGTGTATCCACTGAGTATACAGGTCCTAGAGTAAGAATACAGACACGATATGTATTCCCATATATTCATGGATAGATAATATGTGCATGTACATTTGTACACACAAACGATACAGAGTCTGTTTCTGTCTTTATATATGTATACGTATATATGAATGTTTGGAATTCTGAATTACCCAAAGAAAAGTATAACACAAGCTTCTTTAGTGCGAATTTTGATCTGAGTTGGTATTTTACAACATTTGAGACGCGAGGGCGGCATCATGAGAGTGAGCCACAAGACAGTATTTCAAATGTACATATTTCATATCTGTGGGATATAGAGGAATACAGAACAAAAGTGTAGAATGTATGCTGGTTATCAACTGATTGATACAGCGAACTATGTCATGTGGTACTCTACGAAAAATTAGAGTCTGACCCGTATCCTAATTATGGCATCTTTCAATGCATTATTATATGACACTGAATGACTGTGGAATTATATCGTTATAAAATTTATAATCTAAAGCATAGTTTAGGTAGAAGAATCCAGAAAATCGGTTTTTCATCCACAAATCTTTCATATAATGTAGTCCATGTGTTACATAAAACTTCAGAACGATTGATGTTGAAACAGTTATGTTGAAAAGTGAAGCTGAAAATTTTGCATTCTTCTATAAATGCCAACGAAAATGAACTGCAAAATTTTGATTGAAAAAAGCTTTTACTACGCATACTTTCTACAATCTTATAGTGCGGTAACAAATGATTCATTTTCCTTCTTTTGACATGGTCAGAACAAGAAAGAGAATAAAATCAAGCAGACACAATCAACAAACCTGAAGGTGGCATAAAAACAAAACAACTTTTTAAAACGTTTTTTTTCCAGTTTCTTCGCACATGTCTTTCGAGTACTTTACGGAACACAATGAAAAAATATAAAAAGATATGACACTCGTTTTGATAAGTGACTAATAAGAAGCCGATATTCAGATTGATACTCGATCCAAGTATTATATGGACGTAAATTATAAATTTATTTTACATTAATCTTTGGCATACCTTTTAGTCGGAAGAGTGTATATGATGACTCATCAGTTTGATAGCTCGCGTAGATTGCAACGATCACTACAATTCAAAGGAGATTTCTTATACCAATTTTACACTTAACACACTTAAGTTACGACACTTACGTTACAAATTATTGAGTATGAAGGAATACTACAGTGGCTGCAGTAAAATGTACAGATAAAATCAGCCACTGCTGCTGTTCGTTTCAGCACCAGCGTGGAGAATCGTAAAACGCAAAATTATTTTACTTCTCTACACGCACAGATTTTGAGGATAATTTTTATTGTTATTATCAGTTCAAAGTAAGAATAAGAACTAACGATTATTTTTCATTCAGACTTTAGCCATTCCTCCAATAGGCATTCACTAGCTATTAAATCTTTGAAAAAAACATAATATTTTTACACTGTAGAGTGACTATCTGGTGTCCACATATTTTGTGCAGGAAGTCGAAGATAACAAAACCTGCTTTAGTATGAAGAACACGTTGCACTTAATATGAATCTTGTGACGTAGCAATATTTTTGTGTGCCCAGAATCATAAATATTCGCTACAGATATGACATGTGGATAACAGTACTAAAAAAGTCATACTTATCGCTTGTCTACCAAACGCGTAGGGGTGCTACGTGTCTTTACAAAAAAATGAATGTCGTTCGCATTAATTTTTTCTTACTAGAACTACTAAACACCTTTTCTTAATTATTTCAGTTGATGTCAAAGTACATTGACTTCGTTGTAATTGTCATAGTCCAATATCGCGATGAATTTAGCAAATGATATTAACTTCCAAATACGACCATTTTCCTTTACATATGAACTTCATTTAAATAATGATAAAAATGTTGAAGAAATTTTTGTCATACGACTTGATGCTAATACTAATAACACTAACGATTGTTTATACATGAAAAATCAATTATCTTTTGTTACCAATCATGTACAAACGTTCGATAATGTTGAAAAGTGTTATAATTACGTATTATCTGAACAAAAAAATGTTTTTTATTGGTTCTCGCTCTTTTGGTCAAAATATCGTAACTCGAATTCATGAACTCTTACATTAATTTTGTCGTGAAACAAATCATGAACAATGGGTTAACATATATCCAAAAAAAAATCCGAGAAATCTTTTCTTTCTCAAAAAGATTCATTACTTATTAAATTAACAAATGACATTAAATTATATATGAAAGATTTTTTGCCAATAAGTATATTTAGCCAAAAAACATATCAACAACAAATTCGTGCTTTAAAGAAAGATAATGCCGTATTTATGTGGTGTCAGTTACCTTTACAAATTTTGATTAAACTGGAACTAACAGATAATTGTAAAAG